TTACTGAGAAACGTGGTTTTTACAGTAAACAGCAAACTCAGTGTGAGTCAGAAGTGGGACTCTTAAAAAATGCAATTCTGGGTTGCATTAAAAGAAGCATTAAGTGCAAGGCATTGGAGGTGATCGTAACATTCTGGTTAGCACTGGGTAGGCCTTAGTTAGAGGATTGTGTCCAGTTTGGGACACTGCATTTTCAAAAGTATGTAGAGAAGTTGGTGGGGATACAAAAGTGAGAGACAAAAAGTTACCCAAGAATCTCTACAATGTGGAAGAGGCTTCCCATGTCTACTTCCCTCTGCTCCTCACCCCAGGTTGGAGAATTGCCTGCAAAGGCTAAAGCTCAGGGTTTAAGACTGGCCTCTGTGCCTACAGGACTTCCTCAGAAACTGCCTTCTTTTCTTCATGCTGTCTTGGAATTTAAACCAAAGGCCCTGACCTTCAGCCCTGACACCCTGTAGCATAGTAGCTAGTCCAGTGGTTCTCAAGCTTTTTAGACTCAAGATACCCCCATTAGATTCAAAGTACCCTTCAGAAAATGCCAGCTCTTAGCTTTCACACATTTTCTGACTGTAGAAAAATAATAGAGTATTTCCTCTACTCTAGATAACTTAGAAAGACAGAGAATTGTTGACATTGTGGATTTTTAATTGAAACCTCTGGCTACTGGGACAACTAGCAGTGACACACCGTGTGCCACCACTAGTTGTCCCTGGGGAATGTCTGTGCCACACACCCTCTAATGTGTGGCAGATTACCTCGAGTGGGGTAGAGGAGGCTGGGGCCAGCACTGGGCTGGCTCAGCAGCCTTACCTGGGGTCCTGGAGGCCTCCTGGGACTGCAGCAGTAGCAATCCTGCCAGCAGCCAAAGTGTGGCTCCAGCCAGCCAGGCTCTGGTTTTGAGCAGCACACACTGCCCCTGTGTGCGCCACTCCACTTTTATTTGCCTGGGTTTTTTTGCTCCCTGAATATCGCTTGCAGCATGGAGAACAACTGACTGTGCAGTATGTGGCTCTGCAAACGTCTGCAATGCCACATACTGCATGGTCATGCTCATCTCTGGACGCAACCTCTGGGTTTATTCTTTGAATCATATGGAAGTGTTTGCACACTCAACAGTGTTAGCACCCATGCAGCACCCTTAAAAGGATCTCACAAGACTTCAGGTGCTGTGGCATCTGGTTGAGAATCACTGAACTAGCCTGTGCACATAGGAGTGGGAGCCGCTACTTTTGAATCTCATGATATTGGATGAGCTAGGCTTCCTGGCAGCTGTATTACCAGCTGGGCCAGGGAGCCGCTCTTCCCTTTCCTGCTACCCACTCAAACATACCCCAGACCAGCTCACAAGTTTGCTTGACTACAGGCACCTGTCCAAGGTGCAAAGTTGTGGGGCCTGGTTTCCAACCTCAGACCCCTGGTGTGATGGGATTAAGCTGTATGAGGAAAGGTTGAGAGAATTAGTCTGGAGAAAAGAAGATTAAGGAGGGTTATATTGGTAGAGAGAAATTGTGACTAGATGGCAGGAACTGAGGCAGTGGATTTAAACTGCAGCACTACAACTTTAGATTAAATCTCAGAGAAAACTTCATAATTGCTAGAGCAGTAGGATAAGCTGTAAAGGAAATTGTGGTATTTCTTTCACTGGAAGATTGTAGAGGCTGGATAGGTCTCTATTTGGTACAGTTTAGGCATAGCATATCCTACATATGTGCAGGGATTTGGACTAAATGACACTTGAGTTGTCTTTCAAAGCTACATTTTGTAAATGTTACAATTAAAATGGCTGTCTCAGCCTGTGGCTGGAGGCTACAGTCATCTCTCTGAAAAATGGTCTCATTCCCATCAACGTGAATATGGATCCCCGCTGCAAAAGATCAAAACCAATTTCTCTTTTAGATTAGGCATTAGAGAAACAAGGTGCTAGTGTTTCAATACAACATTTAATTTTATCATAGTAAAAAGTAAGAAACAGCTTTAGGGAAATGTTTTTCTTCTATCTGTATATCTTTTCCCTTCTCCAACTGTTATCTCATCTTCAGTCAGGTTTCTTTTCTTTTATTCCTTCTTGTTGACAAGCCATATGAAATATTACTTGCAACAGACAACCCCTGCCTTACTGCTGCGCTTGACCTTTCCTGAAAAGAAACAGGATGAGCATGAGGGAAATAAAGCCCAGGAAAGTAAGGAACTAAAGGAGAGATAGGGACAGAAACACATATATACACATATAAAATCCAGAGAGAGAAAGAGGGAGAGAGAGAGAGCGTGCAATTCAGGCGCAATGGCTTCTCATTTTTTCTTATTACTGCTACTAGTCACAGCCATAGCAGAGTGAATTGCTGGTCTGTCTTCCAGACTAGTGCCTCCCTGCCCTTCCTTACAGCAGAGCTGTTTCAGACCGTCTCACTAGCCTTTCTCAACTGTTTACCTAAGAGCAGAAACGAGGTCTGTTCTCTACAGAACCACTGAAAGATGTAAAAAAAACCTGATACTAGTTGACCTGGTAGTGTCAGACTTCTGGCATACATCATGATACTATTTGGCAAGGTGTGAACTTCCTCACTAAAAGCTGATGATCACTAGTGTATGAGGACAGCACAGTCTAAGCTACAGTACATCCAGAGTGAGGAGAAACTTCCTTTTTCTGAGAGTGGCTTTGGGAAATGCAGGTTGAAAAATCATTGATAAGCATGCATTTGGGAAGGAGCAGGGGCAGAGAAGGAAAGAAGAAGGGAAGATGGAGGAAAGGGTCAGTGAGAGGAAGTATGGCTATTTGGAGGAGGAAATGCATGAAAAACAGGACTGCAAGATATCAAAAGTAAGAGAAACAATAATGCCAGCTGTTGCAGAACCATTGCAAGACTTGGGATTTCAAAGTCAAAATAACTCCAAGTTGCAATCTCTTGATCAAACCTTCTGATCTCCAGATTTTCCCAGCTGGTAAGTAGATGGAAAGGGATGGGGAGAGAGGAAAGGAGGGTGGTGGGAAGAGATTGAGGCCCCCACAGTGAGGAAGGGAGTGGGGCAGGAGCAGGGACAGGGGTGAATGGGGCCCCAGGGCTGGGGCAAGTTGTCCAGAGGCATGGGGGAGGGGCACCCCGCTCTGCAGCAGCACACAACCCTGAAGGAGGCATGTGGGCATGTGCCCCCTGTGGGCCAGAGTCAGGCTGCCTCCTGCGGGCTGGGGCTCTGTGCCCTGCTGCCTTGCCCCAGGAGCTCAGTGTGATGTCATTGCTGCCTGCTGGCTAGGCAGGGGACATGGGGCATGCTGGCTGCGCGGCACATCTCCTGCCCACCTGGCAGCACGAGGCACACTGGGATCACGCAGCTGAGCTCCCAGAACAAAGGCAGCAGGGTGCAGAGCCCCAGCCCACAGTGGGCAGCCTGCCTGTCCCCCCACCAGGCGCCTCTGGACAACCTGCCCTGTTCCCCATTCACCCCAGCCCCTGCTCCTGCCCCACTCCCTTCCTCACTGTGGGGGCCTCAATCTGACCCTGTTTTTCCTCTTCTCTTCCCACCCTGCTCCTTTCCCTCCACTTACCAGCTGGATGCTGTCTGTGTGTCTGTCAGTGTCTGCGTCTCTGTCTGTCTGCTCCTCACTCCCAAGCCACAGCCCCCGCAGGCCTGCTGCTGCCCCTCACTCCTGACCCACAGTACCCCGCATCCTTCCAGGGTGTGTGGGGACCCCCTCCCTGGGCTCCAACCCCTCCCCCCCGACACACACACACACACACACACACACACACACACACACACACACACACTTCAAAAATAGCATCTCATGATTTATGTGCTAGTCTCTTGATTTTTTAAGAGTTCATCTCATGATTTTTGGCACAGTGGGGTTGGCAATGCTGGAGAAAGGATATGAAAGGATTAAAAGATTTAGAAAGGGAAAGGAGGGAAAGAGAAGTTAATCAGATGCAAAGCTGAAAAACTGTAAATGACTGAGAAAGAAAAGCAGTTAGATACAGGAAGAAAATGAAGGAACAGAAAAAAGAATGAACCAGAGGGGAGAAAATCAATTATTATCTGTTGCTTGTAGAACATTTGTTGCAAGCACATTACTACAGATGGCGTACAAATAATTGGTTTGGTGTATCAGGTAATGGAGGCATGATTGAGGAGATAAGATACTTGAAAAATTTTGTCCTAAATAGGCAGTGGCGGGGGAGCATATTGTTTTGACATAAAGGAGGATATTTTTATATAGCTTATGTGCAACGTTTTCACAAGTTTTTGCAACACTGATGCTGTTTTTCTGATTGCCTTAATAGGTGTGTGTGAGTGGTGAGGAAATGCATAAGAACTTTTAGTTTCCAGTGGCTTTGGTATATCTTTGTTGGCAGTATATTTTACTGTAATTTAATTTAGTGTAGGCACAATATTTTAGCATGGAGTTCCATGGTAATAGGTATTTTAACTTTTTTTGAACAATTTATATCTGGGATTGCCTTGAAAATCTTGTAAAATGTGGGAAATCAAATACATGTAGATGATTAAAAGGGTGATCCATGGCTCTTTTACTGCTTGTATTAGTTAGATATAAAAATATAACATTTGCAGTAATGTTCCTGATGAAAATTAAATGTTGTCATACATGGTTGGGGGACCAAGATAGAGAGCTGGGCATGTGCTGGTTCACATCTTGTGGCCTTTACCCCACTTTGACTTGAATGGCCATTCTAGGAGGAGAGGAGAGTGTGAAAGAGAGAATCATAGATGACACATTCACAAAGATTCATATGAATAACCATAGGCAAACAGAGAAATGCAAGTAGACCCTCAGCCAGATGGAAGGTGACATACTAAATGGGTAAAAGAGAGAGATGTGTGCACACAAAAATAGTTTATTATGTTTTTAAAAATTAAATGTGGGTGCATAATAAAAATAATATTCCCAAAGGAATCAAGCCATGTGAATCACTACAAGAAACCAGCTGGCAGGGAGGATGTGGAATGACATACAATGGACAGAACAACAGCATAAGGTATGCAAAAGTAACTTTCTTTAGAGAACAGATCATTCTAACTTCTGGAGCTTGGCCTGAGTGAGAGAGGTTCATGGGGGGAGGATCATAACAACCTTGGTTCAAGTGTGTGCTTTACTAGTATACAAGATACTCATGCAACATATTCAGATGTAGGGTAGGTGACTTAAGTAATGGGTTCTGGTTTTTGCCACCATTTGGCAGACCCAGACTGCAAACACTTTTTAGTTGAAGATGTAAGGAAAAATATTAATACAGGAGTACGGGTTATGAGACAGCTTAGTGTCCAATAAGTATTTTGGGGAAAGGTGTAGAAATACAGGCTGTCAGAAAGGAAGTTCACAGGCACTACATTTCCAGATAGATACCATATAGACTGGAATAGTCTAAGAGAACTTAGTGGGGTTTCAGCCTCTCCTTGTAGAAATCCCTAGAGGCATTGCTGTAGAAATGCTATCTGGAGGAGCTCCATGCTACTCTAGTTTCAGTCCCTCCCATCTTCAGTCACAGAGCTGCAACACTGCTTGTGGGGGCAGGGATGGAAATAACTGTGAAAACATTTCATTCCTACCTGAAGTATGCAGATTGGTTTCAATTTTAGAGTCTGACCTATTTTCCCTGGAAAGAACAAAATCAAACAAAAACTTAAGTTCTGCCACAAATACTCACAAAAGAACTACAAGCTATTATTATTCTAATAACATGATCAGATATTAATAGTTATATCAATGCTATTTGAAACTTTGTCAGCAGCAGAAATATGCCCTAACTGTGCAATGTAGTGCTGCCTTTGAAATGAAGTTATGATAAAATGTACAAGGAATGTGAATGCTATAGGCTGCCATTATATAGCACACAACTGAACTGTTAATCCTGCTAACATGTGATTATGATTTGGAAAGTGATGATAATAAAAGTTTGCTTGTCCCTTGTCCTTGTGTGGGTGTCCAGGTGAATGGCACAATGAGTCTTTGTCTCTCTTCTTTCTCCCTCCTTGTTTAAACTATGGATGCAGCAGACTGCCCCTTTTCAGCACCTCCAAGGACATAAATAGGTCCCACAGGTTTTCTATACCAGATCATTGAACAGGCCAAGCACAGAGCACACATAGGCTTCACCTAGGATGGTGCACTGTGTACAAGTGTCTTATATACTTGGAATGTATAATCCTTTTCAGTATTTCCCTTGAGGCAGTGTGGCAACCTCAACATGGGCTTGTGTTCTAAAAGCACTATCTGGCCCATAATATCTGTGTCCTGTGTGACTGAATCAGAGCTTCTAGCTTTGAGGATAAAAAACTTAAAGCCCATGCAGCAGCTTGATGAGCTAGATTCTTGCTGGTTTCAAAACGTCAGAGAATATGCATGGAGCAGACACCTGTTAGGTCTCTGCTCATCTCCCTGTCCCTGCTGAAGTATTTACTACGATCCTTTTAGTGCTTCCTTCTATTTGTTTAAAAAGCTAAAGTTCCTAGGGCTTCTGCCACTCCCCTCTGCAAACTTTTCTGAAACGAAGCAGGTTGCATTTAATTTCTCATGGGTGTTCATTTTAAATACACTCTTTCTTAATTTCATCCCTTTCTTCCCATCCTGGTTTAACACTCCACACAATTGCTCTGTGCTTTTGAGTCTAAATCTTAAGAGGTGCTCAGCACTTGCAACTCCCATTGAAGTCTGGAGGATTTAGCCCGTGAAATTTGCATCTTTCAGTTTATTTGCTGTGATTCTCAGAGCAGAATATAATGTTACATGTGTAGTTAGAAAGAAGCTGCATAGAAAGGGATGCAACTTCCCTGGCATGTTCTGTGTATCATCATCAGTCTAACTCTCAGCTTGGTTCTGTTTACAGAATCATAATTACAAACGCTAGATCTTAAGATACCAGGAGTGTTTGTGAATCCCAGCAATAAAAAGTCCCTTCCTACACACAATGAGTGCACTTGAAATGGATTGACTGAGACACCAACGTTGAACACCGTACCACATTAACAGAAGTACTTTTTGCCTGTAATGACACTAGAGTAAATGGGGATACTTCCAATTGGCAGAACTTCCTGGGGACCCTGTCCCTTTCTTGCATGTAAGTACTTGTTAAATGTACTAATAAGCCATAAAAAATCCATATATACCCTTTCAAATAATGTTATTAAATGTTTTATGTTGGCTTATTAAACTACATATGTCATTGATGTCAGTGTTGGTGAAATATGCCTGACCAATATCCTTAGACACTGAAATCTTTCATTCACCTACAGAACTGGTGCAGTATGAACTGTGGCAGTTCAAGCTTCTCTTGCGCTGCCTGGCCAATATGCCTCATTCCTTATTGACATGGGATCATTCCTTCAGGTGAGAGGAAAGTGTAATCTCCAAAATCTAATGACTCTGTTGGTCTCTCCACTGGGACAACCAACTAGAACGCTATTGTGACAATTGGTTTATCATAGAATCATAGACAAGTAGGAAGGGACTTTTGGAGGTCCTCTAGTCCAACTCTCTGTCTCAGGCAGAATCATCCCTATCCAAACCACCCCATGTAAATCCTTGTCTAACCTATTACTAAACTATGCAATAAACCCTGTCACACACTACTATACAAGGCATAGCTGTCACAGCATGGGTAAAGCAGTGTTGTGGAGAGAGGGGTGCAATGGTGGTTAAAGTCCTTTTAGCATAGGTATTTATAATCTAAATACCTCTGTTAAAAACAGGACAGGAACTTCACTTATTTCACATAAGGGACCAAATAAAGTGTGAGATTTGTAGCACACGTATATAAGCTCATATAGGTGGGAGTGTAAAGAACAAAGCCCTCTGCACTGTACTGTAGGTGGTGTGCTGCATGCTTATGGCTTTCTGTGCTAAATCTCTCTCTCTGTGTACAGTTAGGCAAGGTGGTATTCTAAGCTCTACAAGCTAAGATTGCTACATCATCCATACCTTCCCTTCCCTTCCTTTCTCTTTTTCAGTGCAACTTTCCTTTTATCTGAGGGTAAAGGATTTTATTATTTTATTGATTATTAATAATGGGCAAATAGCAAGCAGCTAGATGCCCAGACCACAGTGACTTTCAGTAGGTCTCAGATACCTGTTTGCATAACTTTGAAAACTTCCCTAGGTATAGAACTACCTGTGGAGTAGAGGGGAAGTAATGGGACAGGAAGGACTTTTCCTTTCTCTTAGTACAATATGGCACACTGTGGCATAGACAGTAGCTTTTCTTCCTCTGAAGCATCAGTGAATAGGCACTTCTAGAGGCAGGACACTAGCTTAGGACCCTGAACTCCACATACCAGTATTCTGGTTTAGTAGCCCAGGATGGAAGATACTGGACTAGCTGGATCTATGGTTTGATCTAGTTTGGGAAATATTATGGAGAACATTTAAAACACAGGTTTCCAAAGTTGGCACCTAACTGTACACTGAGGCACTTGAAGTGGTCCAGTTTTGTGAAGTGCTGTGTATATTTGCAGATCCTTCTGCAATCAGAGAGGGTAGTGAGCAGTCAACCCTCATGAAAATCAGGCCACCTTCATTTAGGTCCTAACTGTCAGTGTAGAGGTGAGATTTTTAAAAGGATGTAAGTGGGCTTTGACCTTTTGAAAAGCCTACTGTACATTCTGAAGCAGCTTAGCCCAATAATTCTAAAAAGCTGCTCTAAGAATAACTCTGATGACATGAATATCCCATCTTTCATTCCCCAAAGTTCAAGCATGGAGACAATCTCTGCACCAAAATCAATATAACCATAGCCATACTTACTTGGATGTCTTCCTCTCCTTGCTTCTGTGCTTCTTTTGATGCAGGTTGTCATTACATTGTTGTTCCTCTGACTGCACGGTGGACTGCCTTGTGGTCTGTTTCAGGGAGCTTTGGGAAGTAACTGCCATCCCTCTCTTACTCTCCTCAATAGGACCCACTATACCAGAGATGGTAACTCGCTTGGAAGATGCTTTCTCAGCAGGTTCCTCTTTCTCTGCCTCTGGGATTGGCAGAAGTTTTGGAATCTCTTTGTGGTCATCTCGCTTTAAGGAAATAAGGAAGGCATTCAGCAAACAAGACACAATAAGAAAAGACACAAAGGAAATGCTCAGGTCGGGGCTGTTCTGTGTGACTGGGGCTTTGAGGACTGTGGGAATATAATTTACTATTTATGTATTCTTTAAAAATACTGAGTTTCCTGTTGGTGAAGGGTGTCAGGCACTTCAAGCTTTCTTACATCACCCTTTGCCAATGAATATGGACCTAGACCTACTTCTAGGTGGTGGGTGGGGAGTTCATGAATGTCAGTACTAGAGTTGTTTGGTGGCCTAAGTGTTAATTCTCTTTCCCCTTTCTGCGTCCATCTATTTTCAAGCAGCAGTCTTATATGGACAGTGGGCAAACAGGGCACCAAATATCAGGGGTCCCTGGGGGCCCACTTAAAGAGGCACAAAAATGGCAGCCACTGCTGCTTCTGGCTCAGCCACTGCTGCCACCCCTTCCATTGCTGCTGTTTAGAGTACAATCCCCAGTGTTGTGCCTCTGTTTCCAAGCTTCCTTTCCCTATGTTTTTTCCTCTTTCCTCTTATCTGAAAACAGAGATCAGCTATTTGCTCTGTCTGCTGTCCATATATTAAGATCGCTCCCTTGTAAATTGAGCCCACATTTTCTGCCTTCAGCTGGTAAATGCAGAGAAATGTCCAGGTCTCCCTTGTGCAAGGACAGACTTTTATATAACCAAAGAAAGCATGGAAAGGAAAGAACTTGATATAACAACCCTCTCTCAGGCTGATTTCCTAATTAAAGTTTAAAGAAGTTAAAGGAAAATAAAATAAAAGCATGCTTAATCCAAAAAAGTTCTCTTTCCTACAAAAGGAGAAGAACTTGAACCAGGAGCCTCTGATGAATCACAGGATAGAAATTTCCCTTCTAGTTCTTTGTGAATATTGCAAGAAGACAGTTGATGCTTTGGATTTTCAATTGGATATACACTCAGAGAAATAGAAATGGTAAATATCAGAAATAATTCTGTTTATGCCAACATATGACTTTTGAGAGGCACAATTAAAACTAAGTGTAGAGCCCCAAATACTTCTAAGCAATTAAACACACGAATTAAAAATAACATATTATATAGTCCCCCCCACACCCCAAAAAAGAACTACTGGTTTAATAATATGCAGTTGATCCAATAAAAGGTATCATCCACAAAAGTCCTTGCCTCTGCAAAAAGAACTGTTGAATTCTCACAAAAACTAATAATGCTGCAGCATAAGTTTTGTCAAGAACACCATGATCACCTCAGAGGAGCATTTCCAATCTAAAGACCCAATACACAAGAAAAATAAGATTGTACCTTCAGATAGATATATTAGGCATCTGTTTCTACTCCTGTTATTTCTATAGGATCCACTTGTTTCTCACAGGCAATTTTTGCTTGGGGGAACAAAATCTTGTATAAATCTCAAGATAAAGCCCAAAAGCAATGTTGCAGAAGATAATATCAGTGGCACTTCCCCCTACTGGATATCTCTCTAGATTCCTTGAAACTTGCGACCTGCTCCCTGGCTGCTATCTTTCCTCCTTAGATCCTACATAAACGACTCTCAGGCACAACAAATGATAGCTGACTTCTGATATTTGTCAGAAAAAAATTCTGATGAGTAGTAGACAAAGAAAGGCTTCAAGGGACCCAAAGAAAGATAAAATCTGAATAGCAAAAAGGGTACATATCTTTCTACCAGAATTTAATCTGTTCTGCAAGAGAAATCACAGATACCTGGGCTGCAACATAATTCTCAGTAAATCAAGGCATCAATCAACATCTCTTTTAGTCACAGGAACCAGCATACAAAAGGGTTCATTTTAAGGCCGGCAAATATTTGGTCCTTGACATCAGTTAAGAGAAAGCAGAAAACCTGGGATAAGGCTGATTATATAGGTATAGCTGAAGAAAGGAAATTATCATATGAAACACACTTGTATTTTTTTCTTCTCTGGGTGTTATTAGAAAAGTGAGGACATAACTTTTTAAACTGGTATTTGAAAAAATAATTAAACTGAGGACAGCAAACAGATAAGGCCCTTATCGGGGTAGCTGATGAAGAAAATGGTGCACAAACCTAACCTGGTGTATTGATTTCTCTCTTCCCTTCTTACCCATTGACCTAATTTATCCTTTTTCAACAGACTTTCTAGAGTCCAGAGAAGTGTCTTCCTCTCTACAGAATAATCTTTCTTCAAGTTCCCTCTAGTTTTCCTTCTAGGGTTTAGAAATAATTATTATTTCCCTCCCTGATCCTAGCTCAGGAAGAATAAGGTATTTGGGGTTGAGATGAAAGTAGCTCAGGCCTGCAGTGTGAATAAAAGAGAGCACTGGGTTTAAACTGCAACAAAGCAGATTTAAATACCAGACAAAAACGCCCTTACTGTTAAAACAGTAAGACAGTGGAACAAATTGCCCAGGGAGGTAGTAGAATCTCCCTCACCAGAGGTTTTCAAGAAAAGGCTGGATAGGCATATGTCTGGAACAGTATAGGAATGGTGTATCCAGTATTTGTACAGGGGTGGACTAGATGAAATTTGAGATCGCTTTAAACCCTGTGACTCTATGAGAGAGAGACAGAGGCAGCTAGGCTGAGAGACTGTTGCTTCTTGGGACTTGGTATAGTGACTTGAAAAAGTATGTTCTTCACCAGCAGCCATCCTGGTCCCTTTGATAATGTGGACCCAAGGCAGAATTTCCACCTGTCCCTCTGGTAAAAGCCCCTTGTATGAATATGCTGCTTCTGGTGGCTTCAGGAGGAATCCTGCTTCCCTTCCTGCTCCTGGTTCCTTTTTATCTGTCATGTATAACAAGGGATAACGGCTACCTTTCTAACTCTCTACTGGCACCTCTTTTCAAAGCTGGAACACTCACTTCCATTCCAGTAAGCCAAATGCCTAATGTTTCTTACCTGTCAGCCACCAAATATTGCCATCACCTCAAATATCAGGAAAATGACATCCAAAGTAACGGTGGCCATGCCTACATGGGACTCGGACTGTATAGTTGCTACTGTGTAGTAGTAGTAACCTGAGTTACTGCACAGTAGCACCAACTAATGTCTCTTTTGTGATGCTACTGTGTAGTAGCCTTACACTACTGTGCAGTAGTGTTGTATAATGGTTTTTGCTATGTGAAACTACTGCACAGTAGTACTGGGCTATTGTGCAATCAGTGTCTTGTGTAGATGCAGCCAGTATCAGATACCACACTTCTTGGTGTTCAAAAGGGTTACTCTGTCTCCATGGCCTCCATTGCCCTCAGGTTCTGTAGGGAGCTTGTAACAGGCTAGTCATTTTGATATACATCTCGTGTAAACTGAATTGTACTTTGTTTAATCCATGCAATAAGGGATATTGTCACAAGCATGAGACTCTTTTGACCAACAAGTTTGCAGAAATTGCTAACACCAAAGTTAACACCCCTCTCCTAAAGACTTACTTTCTCTGACTGGCTCCTTGTGCCTTGCCATTTCTCTGTTGACTGTGCACTAAAATTCTGATACACCACCTTGACTTCTGCACTGCTATTGCCATCTGGGGGAAATCGAAGGAGGGAGATGAGCCGTACCCATTGAAGGAAGAGGGGGCGCTGCTTCTCTGGTGTGGCACAGAGCTCCAGGTAATAGCAGCGGCCACTCACCAGCTTTAGCTTGAGATGACACTTCTCAGGATTGTGAATGGAGAGCTTCACAAACTTCAAAGGGAAAAACCTAAAAGAAAACTCTTTTTTGTCATAGGGTGATCTGAAGGAGAATACATGCTAAAGCACAAATGGAAACTCTTCTCAAAGACAGAATTGTGTCTTTTAGCTCAGAAACAATATGGTGCGTGCTCTTGGCTACTCCTCTCTTAGGTACCTCCAGCTATTTGCAGGAGAGAGGCTCAGTAGTGGCTCAAGAAGTCTGGGGTTTTTTTGGGGAGGGTTTAGTACAGTATGTTGACCAGACCACTAGAATTAACCCCAAATCACTTGAAAAGTGACCTTTAGCCTTTAATTTCCATAGGAATACAGGAACTGATACACGTCAAGCAGTATTCTGTCTACTTGCTTATACATTCTATCCAGTCCCTCATACATCATAGCCTTTTGTTTGATTTTTGGGTTACTGATGTACCTTGAATAGAGGATTTCTTTTGCTGCCCACAATGATGTACAGATCTTTTGTGTAGGTGGTTACAAAATAATCAATTTATAATCAAACACTACCTCTCTTAATTTCTCCTTCGTGCAGAAAACCACACCAATCCTCTTATACCTTGTCAGCTTCTGATATACTTACAGAATTACTAAGTAAGTGGTTTTATTTGTTTGTTAGCTTAAATCTTTGGCCTGGAATAGCTACCAGAGACGAATCCAAAGGTGCATGGTTAGCTAATGCTTAACTCAAGGGACAGAACTACTAAACAGATAGAACCATGCTGTTGTGTCAGGCCTGGGCAGAAGTCTCTATCATGATGTGTGCAAAGTTATTATTTACAGGGTAGCAGGTGTGTGGTTCTTATTTACGTTTAAAGGAATTTTAGGAATGAGCGGGGAAATAGTCATTAACCTTTGACCAAGAGGCGGCTCCAAAAAAACCCCAACCTTTGTGAGAAGAGTGCTCCATCTATCCCTTTTCAGTGCTGACTCACCTGCTGAGTACTAGCTGTTCTTTATGAGATGGCTGTTTTGAGAACTTCCAGAACTTTGATACAGCTTCCTGTTTGGGTGTAGGCACCGTGTGTGCTAGCAGCATCACATTGGGCAGATCTAAGCTGGGGCTGGATGCACAGATGCCTATGGTCACACAGTTGGGACGGTTGTGAACATAGATTGGTTCACCTCTCTTATTAACCTGCACGCAAAAACAGAGTCATGGCTGTATGTTATGGAGTGACACTATTATAATACAGACCAAATGTGGTATCACTGGCCTGGGATTCTCACTGCTTAGGTTTTGGGAATGAGAACAGAACAGAAGGTGGAAGAATGAGAGGGACATGCGTGTGAAGAATGGGAGAAGGAACCTATTCTGAGTAAAGAGGGACTGGAAATCAATTACCTGGAGATCTAGCTATCTAGCTCTTATACTGGGCTCATCAGCATGTTGCCTGACTGCCTAATGTAGGAAATATGCTTGGATGTCACAGAGTTAATTCTCCAGAACCACCTCACATTGCTTTGCATGGCAGAAGAAGTGCTTTGTTCTTGTGATCTGTCCTTATTCAATTATCTGTGTGTTATTGTAAACCTATGAGCTTCAGTCAGGGGCTAGATTTCTTTATGTTTAAGTGCTGCATAAACACAGAACAAAAACACAGTCCCTGCCCTAAAGAGCTTACAATTTATATGTAAAAGAAGAGAAAACAGATGGATACAGACAGTTGAGGGCTCACAAAGGAATGAGAGAGTATTGGTCAGCACAATAGACTAACCAGCACACCCAACTGTTGTCTGATTTTTTTTTCCAGGCATCAAAGAAAAGGATTGTTTTAAGGGTGAATTTGAAAGAGCTTTAGCTTTTAGTTTTGTGGTTTATTACAGGGGCACTCCTCCCACCTAGGAGATGCAACATGGGGGGATGCCCAAAGGTGCTTTTCTTTAGAAATTCAGAAAGTAGGTGATGGAGGTTGGCATCATGGGCTGATTGCAGGGTGTGGTGTAAACATTTCAGTAAGAAAATGAGAGATAACAGGTTATGTTTGCATGTGAGGGGAGATTAGGAAACATGCATGAGAGGGGGAATATACAGTATATACCTTTGTGTGTGCTAGTTGGCATTGCGTTGAGAGTGGAACAAAGACCGAGAACAGTAAAAATGAATATACGAGGAGATACTTCTCCAACTAGGGTATGAAAGTGGAGATAGTCTATTCATTCTATGCATGTGACAAACAAATTTTGTTGAATTATTTTTTACCTGTATAAAATTACTTTCAAACATGGGAGCACATGTTAAAGGGGCATATTCGCCTTGGCTAAGAACTCGCTGAAGATCACCCATAATGGACGTCTGGCTCCACGAGAATTTGCTTGTACTGAAGCTCCTAAAAGTAAAGTGGCTTCCCATGTTGCCTACACACAAAAGAGGAACAAATTAACAAGTTAAGAGGGGTTGTTCCAAAAAACAGAGAAAGAGTCAACAAGTGGCGGAACCCCAGAGGTTAAGAAATACAACAAACATGGACTTTCCCTTTAGAGGCTACATCATGTCATTAAAGAACAGAAAAACAACATTACCAAGCATGTACATTCTCGAGTGTCAGGGACAGCTCGATAGTCAGTACATCACTTTTTTCTTATAGTGATTACTACAAGAAAGTTCAAGTCATGAACAGATCAAATTAACTACTGGCTCAGGCTAGGTTCTGAGAATTGAAAGTATGACCTTCCAAAGGGTCTCAGGGAAGAGAACAAGCTTTGGGAATGAAATTAGTGCAAGGGTGGGCAAGATGCGGCCCACCAGGCCATTCTATCCAGCCCACAAGGCCCCTAAAAAATTTAGAAAATTTAATATATATCTGCCCCTGGCTGCCGGTCATATGGCCCTCGATGGCTTGCCGAAACTCAGTAAGTGGCCCTCCACCTGAAATAACTGCCTGTGCCTGATTAGTGGGATTTTTTTTAGGTGGGCACTCATAAATAAATCAGGAGGGCTATTTTTCAAAATAAATCAGAAATAATTTTAATACCTTTTAATACCTCTGTTCTATATCACTTACACTAACTACTCTTGTAACTTGATTCTTTCCCCCTCTTCTTCATGAAATCTCCTATGAAACAATTCTAAGAATAAAGATAGATCGTTTATGTATAAAACTTACACAATTCCAAGTGAATCACAAAATAGCTGATATCTGGGCTGCTGTATTTTAGCCTGTGCCTCTTGGTTTATAATTAAGTGAAGAATTATAATATTTTGTTAGGACTCCTCAGAATAGCTGTTTGCCACTGTTAAGATGAAGAGGGTAACAACAACAATTTACCCTTTTATAGCGTCTTTTGTGGAAACATACCAAAGCTCTTTAAAAATAATGGACCTGATTCCTGGGGCTGTGCTCACTGTAGCTCAGGCACAGGAACAAAGTGGCCTTTACTAGTTTTGTGCATCCTGGTTGTGTTGGCTGCCAGGAGCTGGGAAGGCATCATAATGGATTGGGTTGGCTTGTGCTCTCATAGGACAGTGGCATCAATTACATTTCTTGGCTGACTCAGGGCACAGTGAGGATGGCATAGATGTACCCAGTCCCAGATGTATCCAGTCCCATACTGCATATAACCCTCCCTCAGGGGTTTTCTTCATGAGAGTTTTCTGCATAAGTTAGTGCCTCTGTGCAGATACATAGTGTTAATAAATTGCAGCAATGTAAAATGGGGCTTGTACTCATGTGACTTACCCTGGTTTGAAACTTAGTATTTATGGCTCCTTCAATCTCTGCTCCATACAGGCAGGAGAAGACATGGACATTTTATGACATATAGCTCAATCTTGCTTTCATTGCACATAACACCACAGTGGACAGCAAACTGGTCCAGTTCAGGTCACTGGATGAATAATAGTTGACTGAAGCTGAGCCCACATAAAGTGGAAATTATGCTGGCTGAGAAAGGGGAACACTTTGAGCCACAATGTTGCTCATTAATACTTTCTACCATCTCCACTTGGCAAGAAGACTTTCATTCTGGTGGTCGGTGATCTGGCCTCAAAAGATGCACCATGTCCTAGCTGGATCACAGCTATACAACATACCTGGACATACAGTCATCAGCAGTGTGGCTCTGTCAAAGATGCTATTCTGCCAAAACAGAAATGTCATTCCCTGTGTTCCAATGAATACAGAATTACTTATACAGGAGAAACAGGCAGAGAAAGACTCATGCTATTGCCCAGATATTGGGAAACTCAATAAGGCCATGGAAGACCCAGAATATGCTTGGGCCTGAGTCTCCAACGGACCTTGGGAGTATCCTGACATAGAGCTATTGGCTACTTGAGGATGTCTCTCTCATGTTTCATGGACAGTTTCACTAGGTCATGTTTCTGAGGTGAGATGGAATAAAAACAAATTTTGAAATCCCGTAATTCTTTTTTTTGAAGTAGAATTGTTTTCCAGGCATCCCTTATCATTTCCCCTCGTGAAACTCTGATTAGTACAGAAGGCAGCAGCATGTCTCCCTAGCAACACAAGCTGCTCTGAGCACAACAAACCTGTTCTTTCCTTGCTGTTATGGCCTTCTGTAGTGCCAAATCAATTTAATCCAGCTCATGGGGAGCAAATTCCAAAGGGATAACATGGGAAACACCTGCCATCTACTACCTTCTTTTTAGATGAGCTCAGGTGCTACTGTACATATACACACACAGGATCGTTGAGAAAAGTAGGTCTTGGGCCATTTCAGGTTTTGTAAGTCAAGTTCATCATCTTACATTTTACCCAGTGTCTAATACACAGTGGTGACCTAAAAGCACTGGTATCTAAAACCTCCACTGGTATCTAAAAGCACTGGTATACCTTGGAATAGACAAGCTGCCAAATTCTGCATCAGCTTCAGCTCGCTCAACTATAAATATGTTCACTGAGCTAATCCCCTAAGAATGCAGCAAATCCCATCTACCATGTGGCTATTAAATGTTACATTCCAAGAGGTTTCCCACCAGCCTTTACCCATGAACCTGCCTGTGCCAGGAGCACATCCAAATGCATGTTAGCTGGAGGAAATTGTTACCCTGAACTTTTTCTTTTGGCTGTCTCCACGTGTGCATAAGCTGCCTTGTGTGGGACTTACTGGACTTGCCAGCAGTTCTCTACGGCAAAATGTAGCAGCAGCCCACCTCACTAAACTGCTGGTGCTAGTGGACAATCCAGCTGACAGTTTGCCTGCAGTAAAAGATCAGTAATAAGAATTAAAAACAGTGTCACCAACATAACATAGCTGCAAAGCCACTATGGCAGGGCCTTTCTGTCTAGCGTGGGACAGATCCTCAGCTTAAAGTAGTATAGCTTCAACCAAAGTTCTAGCTCAATGCATTTTTTCAGAGTAAGGAAAGTTTTCCAATGAAAAGCACGTCCCCACAGCTCTACTAGTCTACTCTGATTTCACCCTGACTTTAGCAGATGATATTCCTCTGTCCCTTCACAGTGGTCACAAATCAAGTCAACAGCACATAGCTCTAAAAGTGGCAGTGACATCAAGTCCTCTGCAAGAATTCCTATTGAGCACTGACGTAATAATACTTCAGTAGAACGTTGGTGTCAATGGGAATGCTGGGAGGTCCAGTATGTACACTCTTTCTTCTGTACCTTCCCTTGGGGAAGGAAAGGTAGGTGTTTTCCCAGATTTCTTAAGCCTCCTACAGCAGGAATTGAACATTTTGTCCCTTTAGGGAAACAATTCCAGCTAATTCTTGAGAGAAAAATGTGACTGAAGTATAAGGGAACATTTTACTTTGAGGAAGGCAGCGCCTGTTAAATGTATTTTTCCCTGTCATATTTTACTGCTCTATTATTTTCAATCGCATTTTACGGTCCTGGGCACCCTTAAAGACTTGTAACTGGCCAAGGGAGGATTTTTTTCACAGGGGTGGAACAGTGGCAGATGCCTGCAAAGCTGTTGCTTGAGGCTTCCCCCACCCCCTTTACAAGAGTTGGTGAGGATGACATGCTAGTGGCCCGATGGTATGCTGGAGGTATGATGGTAGCAAAGCAGCGCTGCTGAATTGAAAATGTAAGAGAAACCATTATACCATTAGATAAATCTTTGGTGTACCGACATGTTAAATAATGTATGCAGTTTTGGTCACTCCATACCAAAAAAGGGTATAGGAGAACTAGAAAAGGTTAAAAAAACCCAACCTTTACCTTTTCTAGTTCTCCTATATCCTTTTTTGGTATGGAGTGACCAGAACCGTATACAGTATTTAAGAAAAAAAAAAAGTATATAGGAGAACTAGAAAAGGTAATAAAGGTAACGAAATTATCAGGGCCATGGAACAACTTCCATTAAGGGAGACTGAAAAAGTTGTGATGCTTCAGCCTGGAAAGAAGACAACTTGAGGGGGAGCTGATACAGAGCTATAAAAATCATGAATGGTGTAAATAAAATGACTAGGGAATGACCTCTCATAATACAAAAACTAGGTGACACTCGCTGAAATTATCTGGCAGCAAGTTTAAAACAAACAGATTATTTTTCCTTTTTTTTTACAAAATGAAAAATTGGGGTGGGTATAGAAGTGCTCTGTGCACGTTTCACAGCACTGTAATATAGAGTACTTTTTATAGCATGATAAAGTTACAGCAAGTGCAGTGTTGCGGGGGGCGGGGTGGGGGCTCTGAGCCTCCCTGCACTTTCCAGGCTAGGAGGCAGGGGGCATTCTGCAGCCTCCTGGGGCTTCTCCGCTGGTCAGAAATTTGACCGCTGTACAGAAGTTATTTAAAAGGCTGTAGATTGCTAACATCCTGTAAAATACAGCACTTCAAATTTAATACCTCTTTTAACAAGGGTTAATTTAAAGCAGTGTTTCTCAACCTTTTAAGTAACAAGTACCCCCTAACTTCTGAAAATTGTAATAAGTACCCCAACACTCAATTTTCCAGGGGATTTTATATTTACAGACTAACGTGTACCATATGTTGGAAGAAGGGCTGTGTATATAAGGCCATGATGTGACAGATGTTTGATCTGGTGTGGGTAGGGTTGCCACCTTTTACACCAGGGGTGTACAACTTGAGTATGTACCTGGGCTAGAGGTGATGCTGGCCAAAGCTAGGAGGGCTGAACCCAGTGCCGTGCAAAGCACGGCATGCTAAATTATTACTAGGGAATTTAAAGCACTGCGCAGTGCACGGAGTACCATATTTTTTGCCATAGTTTTGAGAGGAGGAAGGGGTGAGAGAGAGAGAGGAAAAGAGGGCGAGAGAGAGAGAGTGTTGGGGCATACCTCCTGCCTGTGTCTCGTGCACCCCCAGGGGTATGCATACCACAGGTTGAGAAACTATGATTTAAAGCACTGTACCCAGCAGCAGGGTGTGACACAACTATTCTCTCAGATTTTTTCACACCATACTGCTGTTTAGCATTACCTCATGGGTGTAATGGAATTGCCACTACTGCTGTCTCATGCTGTTCTTCCATGGAAAGAGTTAATTTTCCAGAGATGGCAGCTCAGTTCCTCTAAGGCAGTGTTTCCCAACCAGTGTGCCATCAGAAATGAACAGGTGTGCCACAGAATTTTGCCATGGCAATGAGCTACAATAGGTGCTGACAGGATTTATCTTGGGCTAAACTGACTCAACCATAATATTCAGGACCATGTCAATTAACATTCTTGTTCAAAACTCTTATTCAAATTGAGTAAAATTTGGGAGTGTCTACACATGTCACTATGGCAATGTTGTTACTGGATTTAGTGCTTCCAAAAGGAAGTACAAATCATGGTGCAGTAACAGTCTGTACTGCACCATACGAATGGTGCATGGTTATTTTTAGTAGCTATTTCACGGTAGTGACATGCTGTAGCAGGGGAGCACATCGCTGTGGCGAAGTAGCTACTGGTCATGTGTATATGCCTGCAAACACTACCTTGTCATAGTGCGTTGCTACAGTGACGTAGCATCAGGTGCAGATGCACCCATTGCATAGGTATGAACGGGCCTAAGAGCTATTTATAGGTTTTTCTTGAGTCTTACCTTATCTTTCTCTGTAACATGGGCTCTCCAACAATGTGAACTCTCTCTCCTAAAACTGTTCTTAGTAATGAGGTTACTTATGAATACTAATTTTTATATTCTACACTGCCTTTTGCCTGGTACTAATACATTATATAATTCTTCACATTGCATTGAAAGGGGAAGCCTTTCACAACATCTCCCTTTGACTTGTAACTTGAAGTCCCTGTGCCCCTTCTTCCCCACTCAGCCCCTCCCCAGGTGCAACTAGAACCTGGTACCATAGTAGCAGTAGCTGAGCATCTTACAAACATGAATGAATTTATGCTAATACCATCCTTGCAATGTAGAGAAGTGTATCTTCACTGAACATTTGTGAAACTGGCACAAAGCAATTAAAAGGCCCCATTACACACAGTGGTAGAGGCTGTGGCAATCAGGAACTGGACTCAACTGAGTTCCCATCCTAGGCCTTACCCAGAAAACACCCACAGACAGAAATGTTCCAGAGGAAGCTGGCTAGCATTTGACACACCAAATCCCAAGTACAGGGTTGTTGTAAAGGGCTGTAACCTGTAAATGGCATCAGTGTTGGACATGGGATCATCCCAACTCTGTTGAAAAGGGGAAAGAAGGCCTACAGTGCTAGATCATATCTAGTATATCTCAGGGGTTATTGCATATTTGCCATCTAATTCAGCAAAAGCACAATATGATTTTCAGCCTTTTTCAATACCTCTTTCTGTAAGAGACTTTTATACAACCTCTTACTTAGAACCATACTTTTTCAGCTCACTCACTAACTCACCATAGACAATTCCTTTAATCCCAGCCACTGCTCCAAAAAAGAAAGAAATGTTTTGAAAAAAACAAGGCTAGAACGGTGAAATTTTAAATAATGATCAAGGATTTTTTTTTATTCATTTAAGTTTCAATATCATTACAGAAAATGTTATGGTACAGAGTTGTTTAACATTAGTTTTATTTCTTTGCTCATTTAATTTCCACACGAATGCTGGTAACACTAATATCTGTACAAGATCAGTCTTTGATTTTTTTTTAATTTTCAGTTCTGTACATTTTTAAATGTATTGGTTAAAAAGGCTGTCAGCACTTAAGGAAGCAATTTTTTTTGTTTGTTCAAATAAAAGGTATCCAGTTACTGCCCAAGAGTACTGAGCTGGGTGGCTGCTGGGACAAGAGAGATCCCTGAATGCACAGCGAGGGGGGAAACCTCGGGGCTTCATTGGGTTCCCAGTGCAGCCACTCTGCTTTTGGCACTGTGCACATCAACACGAGATACAAGATAAAGAACAAGCAGAAGCTCTCTGTGAAGCGGTTATGAAGCATACTAATAAGGGAAATCCAAGTGTTGTCTACGCTAGTATAAATAAGCAGACAGCCTTGTTTTAAGAGCATAAGTAGTTGTATCTTAAAGATGAGAAAAAACACAAGTTCTGCAGGCACCTACTGCTGTCTACTAAAAGCTACCGCTATCAGAACTAGCATTGAACACACAAAGCAATTGCAAGAAAGGAAAAAGTTGCTTTGATATAATCAGAATAAATTCCTTTGTTAAGATTTGTTTTTAAAGATTTTTTTAAAAGGTATTTATTTAAATTCCATTTGAAATATAGTTCAAGATGTTGACTATACTGATCAACTTTTATCCAAATCAGAAAAACTAGCTGTGCCGTTGCATATTACAGGATACAGTCAATGATATGTGGACATGCATCAAAGCTTCGCTCTTTCTGGTGGCATCATAGCCTTCCAATGACCATGACGTCCACCACCTCCCCCTTGTGAAGTTCCACATACTGCTCTGTCTTTGGAGGTAGCATCAACAGTCCATTGGCACTGCGCATACTCATCAGACGACTACTCATCTGATTTCCTAGAGGGAAATGAGAGAAAGATTCCAATCAGCAGTGCAAATGTCACAAAACATCAGTTCAGAAGAACTTAATATTCTCAGTCTTCTTTGGTACCCTCAGCCTTGCAACATGTCTTGAAGGTAAACAATCTGGGCACTCAGGACCAATGGAGAAGTGAATAGAGTCAAAAGTCATCACAGAGAATGCTCTGCCCTTTGCTTCCTGCTTTTCAAACCAGAGGACTGGCAATAAGAGCATCCCTTCTGCCTGAAACAGGACAAAAGAGACTGTGTGCATAGGAAAACCAAAAATTCAACCATGTGGTACATCTCAGATAAAAATCAATATCTCTGGAACTGAATCAATACGTGGAACTGAATCAGAGCCTCTCCAGTCTGGGAAACTAATTCTGTGGAGTGCTAGCAAGTCACAATCTCTGCTAACTGAAGAGTCCAGTGGCCCCCAAGGAAGGCTGCGTGTAGAGTGCAGGGTCAAAATCCTAGCCTATGCAGCACCGTGCTTTAGTATTTCTTTTTGGAACTACTAAAGCACAGCACAGTAATCGCCCATCCTGCACCATGTGTGTGGCACAGTTAGATTTTGCTGCTACGTGTGCTATAATGGAGTGCGCCACTATGGCAACATAGCTGCCAATCACATGTAGACTCACATGATCACTACATTGCCATAGCGTACTGTACGGTGACATACTGCGTTGCTACGTTGCCGTAGGGCGACATGTAGACACACCCATGCAGATGGAAAAAGTGCTCAACAGTTGTTGTTACCAGGAATTCTGGGAGCAATTCAGGATCTAACAGTACCCTCACACATCACAAACCCTGTTAACAGAAAGTGATTTTGACTGAGAGAACACTTACCATCTGCCAGCTCTTCTGGCTATTTCTCACATTCAGCTAACGTCATCTCTGTTTTTATCTGAATTGAGATTCAACTTGGCAGCCTCCATTCAAACCCCAACTTATATTTGTGTTTAGTGCAAACATGAAAATAAGCAAGTGTGTGCAAAAACAAAGATGTATGAATGCATGTGCAACAGAAGGTATACACACAAGCAGGAAGATGTACACAAGAAAACATGCATCTAGAGTGAGCACATGGATAGGCAATCATGTGACTATACCCTTGAGTATGCTAGCAAATGTGTTTGCCACATTATGAGTGCATGTTAGTGTACTTACATGGATGTGTATTAGGGCTGTGCAAAGCTTTGGTTGCTGATTCAATTCAGAGGAGATTTGGCTCAATTCAGAAAAGATTTGGAAAGCTCTGGAGATTCAGGTAGTCCCCACTCGCTGCTGCAGGGCCAAATCTCCAAATCAGATTCAGCCAAATTAATTTGGCACAATGATTTGAATCACTGAATCAAATCACTGTCCCCCAAATTTGAATCCAAATAGTAGCCGCTTCGCACAGGCCTAGTGTGTAAGTGTATGTTGGTGAATGAGCAAATATATGTATGCATGTATGTACATACACATACATGCATACATATATTGGGAACAAATGCATGTATGTGTTTGATTGGTTGTAAACATTTCTGTGGTTGAGTTTGTCTGTGTAAGTGACTAACCTGTACTCTGTGCCCAAGGCAGTGGTTCTTGGTGATGCCAAGTCAGTATGCACCGATGGTATTCTGGGCGAGGATCCAATTTAACATCACATGATAACTGCAAGAGAAGCAGAGAAAGGAAAAAGAGACAGCCTGTCATTCACAGTCCATTATCCAAGATACCCACATTGTCAGGCCAACTTGTTCTTTCTTGTTTCCTTAAAACTTGGGTTTGGGGTTGATGTCCAAGACCCATTTAGGGTAAGATAAAAAGCTCAGAGGTGGTAGTGGTGGTATCGAGAAGAAATGTGTTAGGAGCTGGAGGACAATGATTATGGCATTAGAATATTAAAGAGTGTTTGGGAGTTTGTTTTTGTAAAACAGATACAGGTTTCCCTTGCTTTATGCTGTACATGGATTCCTGGAAAACAGCGCATAACTCAAATTCGCATAAAGGGAACCCACTTTACAATGTAACAAATAGGGATACGTTCCAAGACCTCAATTGTACTGACCCCCAGACCTATTTCTACCACTTTTACAGGAGAATTTTGGTACTCACCAACAGCAGACAGTGCACACAAGCACAGGCCACTGTCATAATGGGGATGGCAACTACAGAAAAGTGTTGCGGATAATGAGCGTGGAGAACAGATCTACACAGGAGACTATATTTTGGTGTGCATCACTCTCACAATGCATCGCACAAAGCAGCTGACTGCAGGCTTCCACCACACTGATCGCATAAGAGTGAATGTATCTTGCATATAATGAACTTTTGGTATAAAAAGGGTCATCACATAAGAGCGAATTTACACATACAGAACCTGCATAAAGTGAGGGAAACCTGTATTTAAAAGCTTGTTTTTCACTAAGGTTTGAAGAGAACAGCTCTGTGGAGAAAAAATATTTAGAGTTTGTTCATTATTCCTGGATTATGCTACACATCAGTAGGACTCTGATACACATTCAGACTACTTCCAGTTATGATGCAGGGGAAATATTCAGTCATTGGCAAGAAAGAGGAGACATAGGAAAAAAGTCCTAATTGAATTCAGCAAGAGCATCTCTCAGTCTGGCCAAGGGCATTCCAAACTGGGGTCCCAAAAACTGAAGTACCCAATATCACTGGCTTCTTTTAAGTATTTTGGCCAAAGGACAGAGGAGGAATTGGGACTACAGAGGAAGTGCAAGATGGGGACATAGTAAGGGTATGGTGACAAAAAAGGGGAAAGAATTTAAAAGAAAACATAGAAGGAAAGGAAAACCTAGAGAACAGTAAAAAGAGTCTGAATGAGAGACAAGAAAATGGAGGAAGTAAGGAGAATATGAAGCTCTGGGAAGACAGAGAATCCTAAGCTATGACGAGAGAAGAAGCCTCAGTTACTGGCCTGCTGCCTTAGGCACCCACTGGCTGCCAGGTGGGAACAACAGAGGAGAGAGAAGCAAAGACAGTGGAAGGTTGGGGCTTCTAACTAAACTACAGGTTAAGTATTAGGAAGATGCTTGAAACCAATTCTCCCTTCTCTATGCACAGGTCAGTTCCTGGTGCACCAAGGACCCTTAACTGACCACTCAGTTTGAGCAGCCAGAGCGGAAGCTGAAAAAGGCAGCTTATTGTTGTTTTTTTCAAGGAAGCAACAAAAGGAAAATCATTTCATAATAATAAACTTATGGATGTGTACAGAAGTTGCTTTTTTGCCATTTAAAGTGCCTTATTGCTGTGAGTTAACAGAAGTGCATGGCTTTACAGCGCTGTAAAATGGGTACAGCACTTTAAATTAACCCTTGTGAAATGAGGTATTAAATTTGAAGCACTGTCTTTCACAGCACTTTAGCAACCTACAGTGCTTTAAATAACTTCTTTGCCTCTGTCTTCCTCAGTAAGGACCAGAACTGCCACCTCCCTGCTGGGCCCCCTTTGGGCCCCGGGGGAAGCTCACCTGGGCCTAGAGTGAGTGATGATTTAGTTAGGGAGCTTCTGGAGGGGCTGGACATTTTTAAGTCAGCCGGCCCAGATGATCTTCACCCTAGAGTCCTGAAGGAACTTGCTGGGGTCATTGCAAGTCCCCTGGCATGGCTTTATGAACGCTCGTGGTGCTCTGGAGAGGTGCCGGAGGACTGGAAGACGGCCAACGTGGTTCCCATCTTCAAAAAGGGGAGGAAAGAGGACCCGGGGAACTACAGGCCAGTCAGCCTTACCTCAATCCTGGGCAAGCTGTTCGAGAAAATTATTCTGGCACACATCCAGGAGGGGCCAGCAGGGAATGGCATGCTCAGGGGCAACCAGCACGGGTTCATCAGCGGCAGGTCCTGTCAGACCAACCTGGTGGCCTTTTACGACCAGGTCACTAAATCATTGGATGCAGGGGTGGCAGTGGATATAGTTTTCCTAGACTTCAGGAAGGCTTTTGATACTGTCTCTCACCCCATTCT